TTTAATTGTTTAAAAGATGTTAAGATGTTCTATACTTCTATTATTAGAAACTGCTGCAAAACATGTTTTCAGATCTAGTTTCTTGATGGTGTCAGTGACAGCTGTTTGCGCTGACAGCCATTTTAACACTGGAGCAATTTTCTAAGGCAAACCATCAGAACTGTTTTGAAATTCAAGTCTCCTATTCAAGAAAACTGGCAAAATTAAACAGAAAAAGCCGACTGCTGCTTAACAGCAGTATCTTACAGTAATTTTGATGAATTGCATCCTGGTTTTTGGGAGACCATTTTGCTAGTTGAGATGTTGAGTTATAGTCCTGTTTTCTAGCATACTTGTAGTACATCTGTCAATTTGCCACTGATTTAGTAAGCACACTCTCTTATCCTTATATCATATTCAGAGAAGCTACATTTAGAATCCCAATCTGCACACTCTGACCCTGGCCAAATGATATTTGCTGTTAGGGTTCTCTCTGCTTGGCTAAACTTTGTTTCCCTAGTTTGCTTATAAAAGTCATGTGAAATAGTTTCCAAAGCCTTACTAAAATCAGGATTTAGCAACTACTTCTTATCCCCATCCACAAGATTTGTCAATTTTTCAGAGAGAAATTAAACTGGGTTTATGTGATTTAATCATAGCAAATGCTTATCAGTTGTTGTGCACGTCATGGGTGTCTTGCTGATGCTAACAACAGATTTTAATTTTTACTGGTCAGAAGAAAAAGAATCAGTGGCAGGCCAGTTGATCTATAATTTTCATCTTCTCCATTTTGTCCATAAAAAGTTAAAGCACTATTTTTGCTTTTTTTCATTCATCTGGTACTTCTCTTGTTTTACATTAGTTTTTCAAAGACGATCTTAAAAATGCTGAAGTTCCTCAGATTAGTTCTTTAAACACCAGGAAGAAACTCTACAGGCCCAATCAATTTTACAACATGTAACTCTTTTCTACCCTTCTTACTTCTAGGTAAGGTTCTTCTATATTTGTCACTCGTGCATAAGCAGTTGATTTTTGACTTTTTGGATCAGTCATCGCTATAACAAACCAAAAACTTCAATACAAATTGCAAATCTGAACCAAACACATGATCACTTGATATGTCAATAGCCATCCTCTTTTAAGTTGTCAATGCTTTCATTAGCGCAAATCTTTTACTACTTATGTATTTATTCTCTGTCAGTTGATAGTTGTATCTCGCCTACTTTCATCCCTATCTGTTAACACTGTCCTTTGGTGGTATGTGAATTTCCAGCTTTTGTAGGCCTCCCCTCCTTGTGTTTAAAATCAGTGAAATTCCTCATTTAACTGAGTTGGTCTCTTATTACAGCTCCTTTCCCTCTCCTGCACTCGGATATACTTCCAGTCATGACCTTTGTACCTCCAAGAAACTGTCTTATCTGCTCAGTTCCTCTATTACCTCAGACTTGTCTTCTGTGAGATCTTACCTATCAATTTTCTGAAGTCTGCCTTCTTGAAGTCCAGAGATTTTTATGATGATCTTCTCCCTCCACCCTAAGAATCATGAATATTTAATTTCACAATCTATCTTACACAAGTTGTCTTAAACCATCAAGTTTTCTTCCTCACTTTCTGCTGAGGTAGTCATTCTTGATCCCAGCAACTGATTCCTAGAGGGTGTAACACTGTCCTAAATTAGACAGCAGTCAGATACTTTGAAGATGACATAAATCCGAATACTACAACTCAGCTATGAAACAAGATTTACATTTGATGAGGCCTTAAAATATGATGCAGCCTTCATGTGAGGACAGTATTCAGCCTACCAGTACCTGAAGGGGGCCTACAGGAGAGATGGGGAGGCACTCTTTATCAGCGGGGGTAGTGACAGGACAAGGGGTAATGGGTATAAGCTAAAAGAGGGTAAATTTAGACCAGACATTAGGAAGAAATTTTTCACTGTGAGGGTGGTGAGGCACTGGAACAGGTTGCCCAGGGAAGTTGTGGATGCCCCATCCGTGGAGGTGTTCAAGGCCAGGCTGGATGAGGCTTTGAGCAACCTGGTCTAGTGGAGAGTGTCCCTGCCCATGGCAGGGGGGTTGGAACTCGATCTTTAAGGTCCTTTCCAACCCAAACCATTCTATGATTCTTATCCAGGAAGTGTGCTGTTATGCTGGTGCATAAGTCCTACTGAAGCTCACTGTTTGAGAAGCTCTTTCCTGAGACTTGAAATAAACTAAATACTGCACAGACCTTTCTGACTAAATTTATTTATAACCTGCAGCCAGGAAAAACTGTCCCTATCTGGTTAGCCTTGTAATAGAGTTATTTAGTAAGTTGCAGGAATTGGTGAGTTTACATCCCTACCTAAGCATTTTTGCTTAAAGATGCTAGAGATGGAAATTCTCACCTGCATGTGCAAACGCTAATCATTAAAAGATAACACAGTAGATTTTATTTTCTGACATTTCTGAATGCCTGGAAAATAGGGGCATTTCTGCTAATGATAATTTAGAAGACATTGTAGAAGATGGCTACCCACATAGGAAATGAATAGCAAGCTGCAATTTTGAAGTAAATAACTAGTGAATGACACAGAACTGAGCTGTACAGAAACACGAGGAGAAAACCTGCTTTCTTTCCCCCAAAACAGTAGTATCCTGAACTTTTAAATTAATTTCTGTAGAATACATTGATGACTAGTACTTGTGTTTGCCATGGGCTGAGGAAAAGAAAGGCATTAACCTCACTAAAAATATCTTTCCTGAAGAGTTCAAGGTCAGCTACGAGAAGGTTTGCCATTTGGCAAGAAGAAACAACTCAACCTGGGTGAAAAGAAGAAACCCATCTGCAGAATATGATGATAAACTACTTAAGCTTCACAGATGTACTCCTACTTGCTCTTGTAAATAACTAACAGTGATCGTATATTTCATGTCACTTAATGTCCAGTAACATTCCACAGTTCACCAATAAAACAGGTAGGGAAGCAGGCACATGTACAAAGAAACAAAACAGATGTCTAGTTAGATAAGCACCTCTGCTGATAAGCAAATAACTACTGTAGGTTACTTCTAAGAATAAGACTTTTAAAATAAATTTCCAGCTTGAGGCACCTGCTCCTTCTTAATCAAAGTTACTACATAATCTTAAATCTTGTGTACATTAAGGCAATCACCACAGCATTGAGACACACAGGTATTCCCAAGTAATCCAAATTCTTGATATGCACTTTCTAATAATCTGTAAAACCCTCACATTTTCCCTTTGGATACCCAATCCATGTCCTATTTAAAGTTGGGGAGAAGAAGGAAAAAGGTGAAGACTGTGGTTACATTCAATAAGCAATTAATGCTTATCTTCTAACTTCCAGCTGACATATTTCTATACTGCCCGCTGTACCCCTTTTCTATCTGATTTCTGTGACACAATGCAGCCCCAATCCTGAAAATGGCCACATGTTTTACTTCTCAGGATTAAGCAACCCTACAGACTTAAAAAGAACTTAGACATGGGTCTACTCATTAGGTAACATTAAATTAAATTCCTTCTGGAACAAAATTTACCTTGCTAGAAACACGTAGTAATGTGAAATTTAAATATTTAAAAATGGTGTTTGTATCAAAGAAGCCCTAAGAATATTTAGCAAAAAGTACAAATAGAAAAAAGAAACTGATACTTCAAGTTGGAAGAAGTATTTGAGTGCTGGACAAAAAGGCACAGTAAAGGGAGTAATTCTTATTCACAGACAAAATTAGCCAATGAAAAAAATGTATTTTCTAAACTAAGTAGATTTGGTTTTAGTTCTCAAATTATTTATACAAAATACAAGAAAGCAGTTTGAATACAGTCCATCTCAGCTTGCATGTCCAAAACATGCCTCAAATAGCACACATTCATTTTGTAATGAAGAGGAAAGGAAGGAAGGTTAACTCATTGGTAGTTTATTTCAAAACCTTTTGAAGATTAATGTCTGTAGGTGGTAAAGTATTCTAAGCTCTAGAGTCAGAAAAAACTTACACACCCCCTTTTTAAAATACAGATAAAGCCAAAGATTTGCTTCATTGGACAGAATGCATCTCTGTTATCACTGTAAAAACAGTTAGAAACTAATTGGAAACAAACTCACCCAGTTTGGTCTGCACACTTCTTTCCAGAAATTCCTTAAGGTAATATATTCTAAACCAAATTAATACCCTTCTTTCCTGACCTACACTTTGTTTCTTTAATTACCTTGTAGACCTTGACTTATCTTCCGCTAATTAGAAGAGCAGTTGCCAGGTTTTCACTTTCAGAGTACAGATAATGTTGTTATCTGTATGTGGGACCCAGTTCAGCATTATAGTGGAACTGCTCTTCCAAAGAAGCTCTTTTGACATAAATTCTATTCATGGGAAGCATTTGTCTCCTTAATGTAAACTGCATGTTCTCCAAAAACTCTCCACGCTTGACAATTAAGTTCCACGCAACTTTGGTCACAGAGAAACGTGCAAGATCTTGAAGCCTCTTTAGTATTTACTGTACTTTAAAACAGAAAGCTTTTAAGAAGGACCATAAACTGTTCAAAGCTGTGCTTGTATAACATTATTCAGGCAGGGTATTTCTATCCCTGACCAGTTCATGACATCTTTAATTTGAAGCTCCTACAAATTCTGCATCTATTCACATGTACTAATCAATATCCCTTTAACCAGGAAAGTGTAAAGCAAACAGATATAATACCATTTGGTATCTATGATAGACTCTTTTAATATCTACAAAAGACTTTAAGGAACAAAAACCTGAAGGTATGCTCTGGAATTCTGAAAGGCACCTTTTTTAGCTTTTTTTTTTTTTTTTTACATTTAGCCTTTGTGCTTTCTTTCACATCACAGGTTAACAGGTTAAAAATATGTGAATACATGTGAACCATTATTGAAATAATTATTACTGATTTAATAATAAGTGTTCAAGTGTTAAGTCACAAACTTTTAAAAACAATACTATTAAAAGTGTTTTACTTTGTGTATTATGTGAAAGTGAAATAAATTCACATTTACTGAATGACAAATTTTACTGCACTTCTAAATGAGTAACTCTTCAAAAATACACTTCTCATGGTTTTATATCAGACACAGTTTATAATTAAAAGATTAGAACAATTTGTTTAGGTTGAAAAGACATTACAAAACAAAGCACTTAAAATTACTGAACAAAATATTACAGCCAAGTATTTCAAATATTTGAAATCACCTTTCTTGGGTCATGATTCAAAGACTGGGATACCTGCCAAGAAGGTCAAAAAAGGCTAACAACCCTCAAATATATATATATTTTTTTTTTTAAAGCAAGGCTGCAACTACAAAAATGGATAGAGTTAAGTAGAACAAACATCTTGAAACAAATATATTATGAAGTGAGGTAAGGTATGTTGAAGTGCTACAGTGGATTTCTGCATATTCAAACTTGTTCCAGGTCAACTACTTTGAAGTTTGAGATCAGCAGACTACTGACTGCTTGGTGCAGACTTCTGTCATATGACCCTTTCTCAGATGTCCAATGGCCACAGAAGATACATTCAATTAAGCAAAAACTAAGAACATGATCAGATATGAATGAGCATATCTGGCAATTTAGAAGGCAAACTGTAAGTAAAAATGCAAGCATACAGCTTATTCATAATAAATACATTTTCAAGCATTTAACATTATCAATATTTTAAAAAGAATTTAAATAATAAATGCAACTATTTTATACAGAACTGTACCATTTATTATACACACAAGTATATCAGTTCCCTTTGTTTACAAAGGCTGGTTACAGATATATGGAATGTTACAGTACCATCTTGCATAAAATTTTAGTACAATTTGTACTTCAAAAAAAGGGTGCAAAACACCAGCCTAATAAATCTGACTGAATTGAAATATTTTTAATTACATCATTAACACATACACAACAAGCTGTACATAAGCCCACTTTTCAATCACCACTTCAAGATACTGTAGCAAATACATTAGATTATAAATGACTCCAACAATTCAGTTAAATTTATTAAAGGTTTGCACTGCTACTCACTCTGGAACCTTTGAGATATAGACTGTATTCATGAATTACTGAGCTCTTGTAAGTACAGTTAAAAGGCAGTCAGCACTGGTTGCCAAAGTACTAGTAACAAGAGATTTCCTCAGAGAAACTTCACCTAGGAACAAACATTTTTGGATACTTTTTTTTCTTCAAAAATAAAAAAAAGTTTTATGGGGTCAAGACTCTCCATTCTGTACCTTGGATGCTGGTGGATGCATGAAGTCCTTAAAGGGAACTAGTGCCTCTTTCAGAGCAGAGCACACTTCCGAGGATGAGCAGGTGATACATTCTACTAAAGTCGGGTACAATGCAATAACTTGTGCCCATGTGTTAGCATCAACTGTAATGCAGAAAAGAACAGATTGAATCACTTACTGCTATCCAAATTCTTACAACAGGTTTTTTTCAATACCTATATAAATAAGGGCACGTTCAGCTACCTTAACATAGGTACCTAGTGCTATATAGACACTACCACACCCGTACAGGGCTCTCAGATATGATGTAGAATTTTTGCAGAAGAGCCATATTCTTTTTTTTTTTTTTTGCAGCAGCAGCAGCTGAAAGCCATATGGGATATCCATAAAATGGTGCTACACACCTGTGTCTCTACATAGAAGTCATTCACTGTGTTTTCTGGATGAAGAACTGACAAATTGAAGATACTACTTTTATTAAATCCATAACACATACATTTTCCGCCTGCTTTTCTCAGCTATTGACAGAAAATTGAATTGTGTGTACATTTCACTTTTGGAAATTTGTCAGCAATGAGGCCTTCTATTAATTTTAGAACTCATTTTATATTACAAGAGCTATAGAAAGCAGAGGGAGAAACACTGGACCAAGACACAACATCATCCATGGTAAAGTTTGTTAGTTGAACAAGTAAAATTAAACAATGTAGCATGAATCTTATTTATTATGTCACTTCCTTGCTTATCTCTGTTTTAGCTCTGTTTTCAAGAGCACAAATCCCTCATTTCAGACAACGTTAATAATTTTCTTAAAGAAATAAAATTATTAAAAGCTAGAAGAAGTGGGAGTAAAGCGATTCTCTAATTCTCTGATTTGTCCAGTGGTTCCCTTCATCAGAAAGTGCGCAGGAGGTCTGGCAATCACTGCCATATACAGACCACATGAAGAATTTCTTTCATTGGAGGAAGAGGGATGTGGGGAACAGCCCAGCTGAGTTGGCAACTCTACCCCTCTAAGAGAAAGGTCCACCAAAGTAGCACTTCAGTTGCCTTCAGGGCTTGCCAAAAGGCTTTATGTACCGTGGCACAGTTCTGCCCTCAGCCTTTTGCCATCAGCCTTGGGAACCACATTATCATAAATCTGGCTGCTCACTGATGCTGCAAGGGAGGCACTGCCTCCTTCAGGAAACCCACCTGCCTGTGTTTTTATTGGAAAGGCTGCATTGTTTGGTTGTTTCAGGATTGAGCAGGTTTTTTCTGTTCCTCATAATATCAAAAGCAGAGACGTAGAGGGAAATGTTGTAGATGCAATTATGTCAGAGTCCAATACAGCTGGTTTAACTCAGACTTCTGCCTAAGTTTTCTGGTGGGAACTCTCTATGCATACAGTAGGTGAAGCTTTCAGGAGGAACAGGATACATAATTATAAATGAAGCTGAGGTCTTACATTTAATTCAGCCCTTTAAATACATCTGTCAACCATTTACTTGGGCACCAATGAGCTAAGGCATCTTTCTGAATACAGGGAACAGGACAGACAAGAGCAAAAAGGAGGAAAAGCAAGACCGCAAGTTTAGGTATGTAACAGCCTGTCCATACGTTTAACTTGTACACCCCTTTAATTGCAGAGTGCACCTATGTGAACATGATCCATAGCAACCTATGAAGGTATCACTAAAAAAAAGGGATCTAGCAAGACTACATATATTTAAGAATTCTATTCACATTTTATGGAAGGTTTTTTGCTTGTTTGTTTTTAGAAGACACCAAGCTCTATCTAATAAAAGACACCGTGAACTGAAGTTCTCTATTTTATTAAACATATCTTAGGACCTTGTACTTTTAGGTATCCTGGAAAAACTTTGTAAGCTTTTTTTTTGGTCAACCTGCCACCTACATATACACAGAATTACAAAATACTGAATCTTACAGATTACACTTTTCTTTCAAATTTGTGTGAAAATCACTACGGGAAAGAATAAATATCTCTTTGAGGCAGGTATAATGTTATCTTGTTTAGAACCATGTTGTTTAACCATAACTTACCATTTTCAGGTTGAGTTTTTTTAAGTGAATCTATGAGAGTACTGACAGCTTTTAAAACAAATATGATTTCTGTTACTTGTTGCCTACAAAAGGAAAAATACAAACAGTCAACTACTCATTTTTGTATCAAGAATATAAGTTTTCTTTGAAGCTTACACAACACTAAAAAAAAGTGTAAGGGAAATAGCTGCAATGAAGCCTCCCCAAAAAAAAAAAGGATATTTAGAGATTAAATTTATAATTTGTCTTTAACTTTCCCACCATCATTGCTGTTGTCTTGGCTAGGATAGCTTTAAATTTGATACTGGAAACAGTAACAGCATACATATCTCAGTCTGAAAATACTCATGTACATGGTTAATGGTAACATGAAAATAATCAATTTTATCATTCATGATCAAAACCTTCAAAAGGTGAGTGAAATGTAAATAAGTTCCAATTTTCAAGAATTTCTGGGTACTTTGGTCAATCTTTCTGTTTCAAGAACAATCACTTCAGTAATTATTTACAATGTTGCAGTTTGTATATTTTATCTCATTTTCAAGGAGACTCTCCACCTCTCAATTTTGAAGCTATACATAGCTCTACTGGGAATAAAAGGAAACCAGATTTCAGAATTATTATGTTACACGTATCAGAAACATTGTTTCAGTAATTGAAAATGTTAGTTGCTTGAGTCACATTCTTATTGTCTATGTAAAAGCACTCAATACGACCATTATTATTTAAACCTTTTTCAACAAAAACATGGTATCAACATTTTCTTCGAAATGTCTTCCACACAAACATTTCCCTGGCCTTAAATTTCATACCCACACACACACAACATTTTTTTTTTTTGTAATGAGTGAGTGACATTTTGAATGCAACCTTCTTCTCATACAGTACTGGTAATACCTTTCCTTTCCTAAAGACAATGTACATACCGCGGAAGAGGACATTTGCCACTCAATCTCTCATCTTCTATGTAGCGATGCAATACATCCTGTGACCTTTTCAAGAGCACGGAAAGTGCCATTCTAGAGATGTAGCCTTCCTGAGGAGTTGTAACTTTATTACTGAATGAAAACTGGAGCAGTGTTTCAAAACACACCTTAGAAAACTCCTCTCTCATTCGAATATCTATTTCGGCTTCTGTCAAAGTGAAATGTCATATTTAATTGTGCAGCATGCATGCCAATACGCTAAATGTTGCATTTCAATCAGTTTATTATATTTTGCAGAAAGGTTACCTCTCCTCTAATATTAAAAAATATTAACAGTTATATTAACAAATATTAATAATACATTCTTAAAAAAAAAGTGAATCTGTAATAATCACAATAGTTCCAAAAAGAAAAGATAAAATATGCAACACATTCAGTGACATGTTACCTACTTGACATTGCTGTAATAATAAAATATATGAAATAAATTAAAAAAAAAAAACAGCAAGCCCAGATTTACATCACAAATACTAATATTTGGTGCTGTACAATCCAAATATTTTTCTTTATAATGGCTTATATAAATTTTTTTGATCTTTCACAAAAAACTATAAATGTTTTTTTCTTAAAGAGAGATAAGATATCTGGTTAGGTACACCATATAGTTATACTAAGGTCATTGAGTTTTTAAGAACAGGATATTGTGTCTGTCTTACAATTGTCTGAAGTTATTGTTAGAACTATTTCATCTGGCACAATTCAAAACAAACTGTGTAGGAAGTATAAATATAAAGTACCACAATATTATATATGATACTGACCAAGAAGTAAGGAAATAATTTTTTAAAAATTGCAAGGAATGCCTGCCAACTTCCATGACATAAAACATAGTTTATAAAAACAACCTGGATATCAGTCAGTCTCTACTGAATACGTGCCATGGAACTTTGAGTCTTTATCAGAATAAGCACTCTCAACATTTTCATTACTTTCTAGTAGCTTTAAACACTGTTATCTTTTGTCATTCAGATACCATACCTGTAAAGGAAGATGACTGAGAATGTATTGAGCCTTTATTGAGCATAGTCATTATTTGACCAACAAATTCCTTAGGAATAAAATTAGCATATGGCAGTATCTCTGTGCTGATAAGCTGCACTACCTAAAATAAATTAAATATATTTATATTGGTTTTCTGAATATTTAAGTCATAATTACAGTATGAAGACAGAAATATTAAACAAAAGAAACATGCCTAATGAAACTTCACAAAATCTTCCAATGCTAGCTTTTAAAATTTGCAGGTATGGCCAAAAATTCTGGTGTTGCATGTAGCATTAAACTTTTTTTCCCCTACTTCTGTCAGTTTCTGAAGCAGTTATCACTCACATTTCCACTGACATTTGAAGTATCTTCAAATCAAATTTATGGTTTTGAAAAGGGAAGATCTAACATTAGAAATCTCCCTCTACCCAATTCAATATCCTCACTATGCCATTAACACATATATCACATGCTTATAATGTGACATCTGCAAAGCAGTACAAGTGAGTTCATTATCTAAACAAGCTTAAGGCAATGCACATTAACTGAAATGCTTTCTATCCGTGGTCTTGATACTCCCATTCAGGAACAAAGTGGGTTTAAATCTCCATAAATTAATATATTAGATCTCAGAGTTCTGCTCACTGCAGACAAAACCACTCCCACTTTTCATACAGAAATCTTTGTGTCCTAGCTGCCACTCTGGAGAGATGACAGGCAATCAAACCCACAGATATTGCCATGTCTTCTTTGCAACTCCTTTTCCTTTGTACTCCTTATCCCTGGTCTGCCACCTCTCTTGGTCCTAGAGTGAAAGGGAACCAGTCCCGCTTCATTACAAGTATCATCATCTCTTAATTTTCTTCGGCCTTACCCAACCAAACATGATCTCTTTTACAATTACAGCGGTCTCTTTACTGCACAAACAAGGCTTCTTTCTTCATTTATGCACAAGCTTTTCAGTATTGAGAACATACCTGGAGGGGAACAATGTCATTGCTGACTGAACGCCCCCCTCAACACAGAAGACACTTACTTTAGGTTTAATTGTCAGCTTCCTCCATGGTTTACAATTACCTGTGTAATTGCTTGGCAATACCATAGTAAGAAAGAATCAGATAATGGGTTAGAGGCAGAAACACATGCTGGTTCAGCCACTTTATGCTGCTTTGAACTTGAGTGGACAAGAAGTAGTTTTGGCATATTGCTTCCTACTTTTTGCAGAACTCTGAAGCAGACAAATTCTGAGCCTATGAATTTCCTGTCTTGTTTTCAAAAAGGAAAACAATATCACAGAAAAAATAATGAATGGGTAACTTTTCAAAAAAATTATTTCAGAACCATATGCAATCTGTGAACGTCACTGGCTCGTTGGGTTTGACAGTGTATTTGTTACAGTCTCCTTACCTCAACATCAATACTCTCATTCTTCTGAAACTCTTGAATTGAGAGATTATCAGGAGGTGTACTGAAAATAAACATACTACGTTATAATTTAAAATTCACAACATATGTAAGGAGATGAGTATGGGAAAATGCATTACCTTTGAAGTTATTGCACGCATCAATTTGGTACTATTCTATGGTAATGATTAACATCTTAGAATAAAATCTTATGAATAATGATAAAAATGATTCAAAGGGAAAAGCAGTAAAACACTAAAACTGCAGAGTTACAACTGATGGACCTGATCAAGGCCTTACATCACCAACGCCATTTTTCATATGCATCTCAAGTTATTATCTCTTGTTTTATATGTGCAAAAGTCACAGTATCTGTTTAGATGAGTCTGTGAAGGTACCATCAGGGGATCACGATTTAGTACATTTTATTTTTTTCTCTTACTTGGCAAGATAAGATTTTGATTTTCAGCAGTACTTCCGTAAAAAAAAAACCTTGATTTTAATTCTACATTTTCTTCTGCATTAATGAAACACTTCATTAATGGGACATTTCTTTGTCTTGTTCTCATTCTTAATGGACTTTAGGAACTGACAAACCCATTTTACAAACAATAATTTTGGAACCTTCTGCAGTTTTCCCATTGTATATAAAAATTTATTTACATACTAAATGTCCAGATGTGATTCAACCATTAAAATTACACAATACTTTACAAGATCCTACGTTACCTGCTTGTCAATTTGGAAATCTTGTATCATTTGATTGGAAATTTTATGCTAACCATCAGTCATGCAGTTTTCTCTGGTGAAGTTTTATCTCATTTATTGAGTCCTTCCTTGTACCAGTAGGTCTACCTGTTCAGTGAATGTAAATTCCGTTCCTTTGCTGGATTATTCTTCTGCTGGGTTATCAGGCCAAGTTCCTCAGCAGGACAGAAAGAGTAAAGGCCTCCTACTTGGACAGCAATCAACTATTTCAGCTGATGTGCCTACATCAGTGTTTTAGTTTGGATCAGACATGGGCTTTTCAAGTTAAACTTTCAGAGATCCCCATTTATAAACCGTGGTTCATGTCTGGTCTTAGAGTGCACAGAACTGGATTCATTGTCGACAAAACTAAACCAAAAAATGTACTCCAAGCTCTCGTAGATGCTTGCATGACAGGAAGCCAGACTACAGCTACTCTCTGTGGGTGATGGGTCCTCATCACAAACTGTTTTGCTTTACAGATCTGCTTCTACTGCACTTTAGGGGAGGGGGAAGGATCAAAGAAGGCACTTCACATCACAGATAAACTCTGAAATACCTTGCTTATAATCTTATAATCATAAAATTGCCTGCTAAAATCTACACAGATTCAACATACACTTAGCAAAATTATTAGAAGAAAAATCCATTACCAGCCACCGACAACCTGTGGTACAAGAACCTTCTGAGCTATGTAACATGAAAATATCACATGGTCACCTTGCACTCTTCCTTAGGTATCCCACTAATACAACAGAAGCAGCACATAGGCCTAGATATGTGTCTGTTCTGACCTAGTTATGCCATTCTAATTTTTCTGACATAGAGCAGAAGTTGGACTCCTCACGCCTATGTCTCTGAAATTTAAAGACAGTTGCAAAACCCACTGGATTGCAGGCTCAGTTTCTCCATGTCTGATTTGTACTGAAGGTAACATGTCACTGGGGCTAATGGAATAATCAGTAGCATTAACAACAAAAGTCAGAGACAAAGCACTGTGTAAGGTCAATGTAATTTCATGTATTATATTCTCTAATTTTCCCATAATTTTACTTTTTGTCTTTTTAAAATAACCATATAACATCTTCAAGCTGAGGAAATGTTTGGAAATTTGACCACTTGAAAGGAGTGGTTAGAAACATTGGCATTAAGATTGCCTGTGGTACTTCAACTTGCTGCTATTGTATATGCTTGCGTGTTACGATGCATCATAAATTGGATGATGCTTTTTCTTTTTTCCTCTCTCCAGAGAAACCATCTGATTAAGTGCACAGGATGGTCACTACCGAAAAGGAAGGAAAATTATAGGGTCAATCTGCCACAACATTCCCTGCCTAATTTATGTCAGAATAGGCAGATGCAAGGAAAAGAGAGCTCTGGACTGAACCACCAAGCTGTTCTGCAAGCAGAGGAATCGGTGCAGTATTGTAGTGACAAGCAGACCGGCATCCTTTGGCTTATTTCCAAACTCCCTCCCCAGCCCCCACCTCTTCCTCCACCCCATGTCCCTCCCCAGAAAACAACAGACATGGTGGATTGTTCAGCACTAAGCATGTGCTCCCTGGCTGGGCAGCTGCCAAATACATAATTATGGACCTGTGCCAGCCTTGTCCTCATAAAGGTACTCGCCTGGGCCTGTCTTCTCCATCCCACTGCCCATTTTAATTAAAGGTCTGAGAACTTCAGAGGCTTCTAAATCTCATTGAAATCTGGTTAGTTTAGCTAACAGGTGAAACACTCAAGTGTTACATGTTTGACTAGAAAAAACCCAAATAAGAAAACATGAAATACTGTATTTATTATTGGTTTGTGTTAGCCAGTCAGGAAGTTTGGAGTTGTATGTTGAAAGCAAAGAATAAAATTAAATTTTAAGTAGCTGCTCAGTCAGTACCTTTTGTAACACAAATAAGCTAACTACACAAAACCTTTACATAGTAATGTAAACTATTATGATGCATACACATGCAGGTCATGGTGAAATACATGGGAAGCTTTCATTCTGACACCTCCTGATTTACAACTAACTGACTTTCTGAGCTGAGGTTTACTTTAAAGAGGTGTTAAGACCTTTCTGTCCAGTCATCCATATCTGATCTGCCATATATGCTACAGATTATGCTACGTACTTGTTCACCTAGCAAATCACTCCCAAGTAAATAGATTTTTGTGAGGTGTCTGTATGAAACACCTATCTAGAGGTCAAAAGCTTTGCTGGTCTGATGCAATCCAGCCAAACTGTACTGGAAGGGTCAAGAGCCAGGGAAGACAAGAGGCAGTGCGATGCAGACTGTGGCTATGTGCAGGCCTTCCTAGGTACAGAGCTCCCAGCTGCTGCCCACTCTCTAGGGAGGGCTTTAGAGCATAACAACAAAGAGCTAAGAGCCACCCAGAGTCCTGCTGTGCACAGCAGCACTCTGCTCTGAAGCATCTTTTTGGAAAGTATTTATTTAATTCCCTCATGTGAGCACTGACTTCTGCTCTAGTAAATTATATATATATATACACACGTTTGTTGAATTTTATTTTAGAAAATGGCTTGACATGCTCCCATGAAAGCCTCTGGGAAAGAAGAATGTTATGAAATAATAAACAGACTAGGCTCTTACTAGAAGACAATTTTGTGTAAATTAAGTTACATGAAATGTATTAATTTTTAAATGTCATTTTTATTTATAATAAAAATCAAGATTATTGAGCCTCCTCAGCTGTAGCTTGCTTTAAAAAAAAAAAAAAAAAAGCTGAAGCTTATTGCTTCAAAGCTGTTAATTCTCTACAACAGTAACATTTTCCTTTTTCATTTACCTGGGCTCTTTTGGCTATATGTGAAATTTCTTGATGTACAAAGCTGCAGAGACCATTTCTGCTGTGCTCTGTACTTTTTAAACATCAATGATTATCTCCTCTCATTCAGCCCCATAGCTGCCTTGAAAATCTGTTCCTGTCCAAAATACAGAGGCAATACCATGCAGAGGAGGTTCACTATTTTAAACACAGAGATTCACAGAGCTTTAATTTAAGGGTTCTAGCCACAGTGACCTCTTGCCTAATGAATGCCAACTCAGTTTCACTGGTGGAAGAAATATTAGGCTAACACATGCGATTTCCAGGACCACAGTGATTAGAGGAATTATGAGTTAGCTTAGAAAAATGTTTAAAATGTTGATTAAAAATGTAGAACATCAGTGAAACAAGAGTTGTATCTTTCTACTCTGTCCTCAGCCAGGTAGAGACTTGGTGAATGTCCATACTAAAATGAGACAATATGCACTGGGATATTTTAATGAACAAAGCTAAAGGGGAAAAACTGGCTATATCTGTTATGCAGATAGGAGCTAGGAGGACTGACTGCAATAAGACATTTCCAAGTTCTACAGAGTTGCATATATTTCATATTTAGAACCATCCCAGCAGTGCCAAGTTATCTTTGAAGAAAAAGGGTTTGAAGAACAGGTATAAAAGGAAGACATTTACCTAGCTTTTCATGAAGCATCGACAGATAATAGCATGGAACATGTAGAACATTAAATAGAGGGAAGTGTGGAGTATGAAAAGGTACACACGATTGAAGGAAGAAAAGTAAGTTTCTTTGTGACAAAACATTCCAAATTCCTTGAAGCAGAGCACTTAGGAAAAATTACAGAATGTCAAGATAAGACAGTAGATTTTCAATTTTATCTGTATTCAGGTCCAACTGATTATATCTAACTGTATTCCTCTCTCAAGGGGTAACGTTGGATAATGGCAAAAATCCAGATAATGCAGTAACGCTGTTACTCTGTCTCACCAATAGACTCCTGAGGTGTCTCTGAATTGTATTTTCCAAATTCTTTGCCCTCCAGAACCTTTTCAATCCATGCTGGTCCTCAGCAGTGCAGCCAGATTTGTACCCTTCTGCACCTGACTTAATTAACCCCCTGTCCTGCATGGCATATGCAAGTTGGAAAGCCACCAGGGATGACTGGCTCACAGTGGCAGTAAGCCACAGTTATGGTCAGCAGGGTCACTAAAACCAAGTCAAGGTTACAAGCCACTAATTTTAAAAGCACAGGGTGCTCTCATCTTCTCATCTGTGGCTTGGTTAATTGACTTCAGTGATTGTTGTGGTTTTGTGTTGTGGGTTTTTTGGTAGTGGGAGAGGGGGCTACAGTTATGGCTCCTGTAAGTAACTGCTGGAAGTTCCCCCAGCTCCAAGTCTGTTCTGGTAGCAGAGAACGGACTACAAAGATGGCCTCTGCGAGACAACACGTGGTGAACTGACCACAACCCCCATTCCCTACCCCCTGCACTGCCTGAGTGGGAGAAGGCAGAGAAATGGGGAGGAAAACCTTTGAGCCTGGGAAGAAGGGAGGGGTGGGGGAGGGGTGCCTGTTTAAGACGCAGTTCCCTTTCTCATTATCTTGCTCTGGTTTTGATTGTTAACAAATTAAATGGTTTTTTGTTTTCCCCAAGTCGAGTCTGTTTCTTGCCTGTGACCATAAGTGCTGAGGGAACCCTCCCTGTCCTTGCTTCAGTCCACAAGGTTTTCACCTTTTTGTCTTCCGATTCTCCTCCACATCCCACCAGAGGGGAGGAGAGGGCAAGAGGCTGTGTCATGCTTAGTTGCTAGGTGGCCTTAAACCATGACAGTGATACAGACAAAAAATCCAAGTACTACCAAAAGTTTAAAAAAAACAAACAAACAAAACAAACCATTGTTAATATAAATAAATCAGGGAACACAGTGAAAAACAGCTTTTATACCATCTAGCTGGCCTAAAATAAAGGCCCAACGTGGACAGTTGGAAAGGAAAGTACATTCCCATTGCCTTCTCCTATAATCTGAAGGTTGACATGTACCTCAACTCCGCAATAAGTTTTAGTTGCTACTTTCAAAACAGTGAATAGATTCTCCCAAATTACTCAGAAATAAGACACCACTATGATTAACATATATTTTCTATTAGAACGGTAACAAAGGAAAAAAAATTGAAAGAACACAGTAAATTTGAAAATTCTGAATTCAATTTACTTAGAAATGGAACAAATACAAACATAAGAGACTGACTATATGCAATCACAATCCAGTAAAAGACACAATTTAGAAAATTCTAACACAAAAGGGACAGGTTGCCCTATCTGCCAATAGTTTCATGGCATCTTGCACAGAAGTGCCGAAGGATTTAACCAAAGGAAATCAGAAGAGAATTACCTCCATGTGGGGAACTTCCACAGCTATCTCTAGAGCCCTCCTTGCATCACAGTGAGAGAGGCACACTTCAGGAGCATTGTGGGGAGGAGGAGGAGGAAGACAATGAAGAAAAGGAGAAATGACTGCTATTACTAATTGTCCTGACTACTGGCATGAGGCAGATGTACTCCCTCCTCAGCTTTAACTTTTTTTAGGACCACAAGGCTCAGGCTGATAGAGGAAACAGAAAGACTATCTATCCTAAAGCTACCAAGGTATAGGACTCTAATTATAGGTAGGAGGACCATCCACTTGGGAAGACAAAATGCTCTTTAGAAAAAGATGGACACTGGGGGGAGGGGACAAAAAACCCCAACCTCAAACCAGACATTCAGCAGCCAAACAACATACAACTATATAAGCAAAAATCATCTACTCATAACAAGCCATGAAAGAGCAATGATAATGTCCATTAATTGTGATAAACCATTATCCTGCTGTAGCCATACGGTTCTATAAAGCACCAGCCTATTTTTAATATTTTAAATTCTTCTGAACATTAAAGCTTGTGAGAAAACAGAAAGTTTCATATTAACTTCTCTGACAACATCTTTAATTCTAATGAAAATGCTGATCCCTAAAACACATTTTATATGTAAAGTTATAGAATACACTCTGGTCTCTAAAGAGGCAAAACCAGACTTAAGTGAAGACAGACAAGTTTTAGGGCATTATAAATATTCACAGAAGTACTATTTTTCCTTTACCTCCAGAGAATATTCACCCATGTATGACAATTGGCAAAAGCTATTAGAATTAACTCCAACAGTGATTGTTTCTAGCAAGCAACATGTTAAGATGGATTTTCTATGGCTGGAACAACTTTCAAGAAAAGTATAAATCACTTGCTGTAAATTAAGAAAAACAGACAACATATTTGTCTAAAAAGGTCATGCAGATGATGGTAGATTATCTTGAAGTACACTGTAGATCTGTGATAATCTTACTTCCCTGGCTTTATGAATGATTAATACCCCAAAATTGTAGCAGTGCCAGCCTGGGTCAGCTAAAAACATGCAAAATGGATGTGTTTCATCTGTTTTGCAGACATTTCAAAATAATTAATTTCCTGCAAACAGTAGTGCATACTCCCAAAGTAACTTCTAAGTGAACATACATTCTTGTACAATAACCTGAAAAACCTTCATTTTAATTTTCTAAACCCAACAATGATATTGATCATAGGGTGTTAGCCAATCTGGAGGCCTGTCTCAGAATGGAAGCGGGACTACTAACCACAGCTGAAAACAAAACCAAACAAGATACTGCAAAGATTATTTTAAATAAAGAAACAGTGAAGCATTAAAACAAAAACTTGCATGATTAAAGCATCTTTTATGTAGTTTTGATAAGTTTTTTTATTTTAGGGTCCTCCTATTTAATAATATTTAATTGAAGTAAATGCAAAAAACCAAAACAATTGGTTTTCATTCAATTGTCATCTAACTCTATTGATGAAATTCCAAACCCATTCATTACTACAAACATTTTCACTAACGGATGTGTCTCTAAAATTAAGTTTCATTGGTATTTATTTTTTGTCTGTTTTGGGCAAGCTGCTGTTTATTCATCATTAGTAAATACAGCTGTGTTTGGTTGCTGATACTTGTGTGTTTGAAAACTATACACACATAAATACACAGCATATTAGTGTTAGGTATAGAATCCTACTGTTTTCTATTAAAAAGACAGATTAATTTGTTACTGAAAGCAGCATACATACAGAAAATCAGGGAATTTAATTTTTCATATTCCACGCTGCCCTTTAATCTGAGACACCACTAGATATACAACTACTCCTAAAAGATATTTACCCACAGATGTTCACATAAGATGGAAATTTCATACTGCTCCTAAGCAACCTCCTACAATACCTAACCTTCCTTACAGTAAAAGGTCTTCTTAATGTCTAACCTAGATAATCTTTGCTGTACTGAAATCTATTTTTACTGATTCTCAAGGGACAATAAAAATTCTTCTCTAGAGCAATCTTTTATCATATTCTGAAGACTTATGTCTTTCTAATGCTATGTTCTTTTGTTTGAACAAACTAATAGATTGTTTAAGTCTCTGACTGTTATTATTTTTCAATTTTGGACCTTCTCAACATGCCCACATCTACAGCGTTACATTCCTGAGAGATTATGTATGTACTTATACATCTGCCTGTCTGTCTAGTTATAAATCTGACTACTTCGCTACACTTTGTTTCACAAAGTATTATAAATAAAGCGTGGTTAATTATTAAGATGCAGTCAATTTGTCTTGGGTAGAAACAAATGCAAGATTATGATGGGCTTCTAAGTGAACAGCAATGTAAGAAATAGTTTTCCAAAACTCATAAGGAAGTGGAATAATTCAAGATGGAACTGAAGAGAAATACATACAGTTAATGGTGTTCACCTTAACTAAAAGAAAAGTATTGTTGCAATTCTGTTCAAAGTGAAAAAAGGAACAAATTGAGTACCCATCAGTAACTCCCTATCAAATCCATAGTAAACGTCTTTGGGAGTCCATACAGAATTCCTTGGCCTGGTCAAAAAGGCTATGCCTTGTATTCAGATGTCAGCTGAGCTCTTTCTTGTGCTAACCTTCTGAATGAAGTTTTTTCTACTGCTTCCTAAAAGCAGTTTTTTCTACTGCTTTCTAAAAGTCTACTTTTTGAAGTAGCCAGACTGGTTACATTTTTTTGTTCATTCATTAAAATAATTTTCAGATATCAAATATCTCTAAAGATAAGGGTATTTTTACTGACCTTTAATGACAGATTTACTGAACAGATTACTAACAAATATTTTCCAGTTTAAAATAAATAAGGAAATTGCGTTTACCTTTTGGTGAATAAAAAGTCTTCAAAAGTATTTGCTAGCTCTGGCCACATACTGTCAAATTTTCCAGAAGATGCATGCTGCCTTGCAACAGGTAGTCCAATAGAGAGAACTTTGAGAAGAGAGGAAACAGCTAGCTTCCATGTGCTTTCAGAAGGACATGAATATTTCAGGCTAAGAGGTATTCTTAAGGTCTGCAAAATGAAAGTTAAAACAAAATTTATATATGCTCACACAAATCTAAGAATATGACTGGTTTCTGCTGAATATCTTAGCAGACACTGTCATAGATGACAGCACACATCCCTAGGCTTTCTGCTGGTATATGGGATGCTCTTTAAAAAATATATTTATAAAGACTCTTTACTATATACCAGTTGGCTAAAGCACAGGTCTGTTGCCAAGTACAAGGTCAGAGTGGATCCATTACCAATTAAATTATGAAATTACAAACTAATTTTCTTTTTCTGTATTGCCATCCACTATTTCTGCTAAGCCTGACAAATGGGCTTTCCTAGCATCTAACAGATTACAGGCAGTTCGTTATCATACGTGTATTGTGGAGAGTTTACTCCTGTTCCTAGAAAGCCATCTCAAGTGTTTCCACAGTAAAGAAAAAAAGTCTCATTATATTTAAACTTTTCCTAATATGCAAAAGTCAAAGTGTATACATGACCACTGCAAGACACCTGGTAATTGCTGACTGTTAAACCACATGAAGTTTAAAAGCAAAAAGTTAGTGAAATTCTAAGATAAAGGCTGCAACACATCTCAAAGGTACAGCAGATGAAAACACAGCAAATTTTAAGTCTTTCAGATAGAAAGACAGCTTCAATATCTACAAAAGAAAGTCATAAATGAGTTTAAAACCATTAAGAATATGTACTATTTACACTATATGTATTCTTTTCAGCATTGTTAGCCAAACTAACTAGAACCTGATACCAAGTTATCTTGGAAAACTAATTATTTAGTTTACATTTCAAATACACAGTGACTAAATTTGTGTATTACACATATGTCGCTAATGCTTTTAGCAAAGTCTCTGATTTGAGGAAAGCAAAGGGATGAAAGAGGAGTGTAATTAATTACAATTGTAAAATCAATTGTAATTAACTCTCTCTTGCCAAAAATTATGAGATCTAGGACCTAACCCTAGAGATAAACAGAATATTTTCTTCTGCTGCTATTCTTCATGGGGGTCAAATCTAAGTCCAATAACAACATAGGCTTTAGAGACATAAAAAATATTTTAAAAGCCATTTTAATCTACTGCAATAGATCACATTATTATCAAGTGTGAATGTTAAAGAAAAGTGGTGTTTATATCAGTTTCACCTATCCCATTAAAACAGAAGTCGGAAACAACTGCATTAACTTTGAAATACAAAAAATTAATTCATAACAGATTGTAAACAATACCATGTAACTATTTTAAACACATTCAAATTTATAAATTTCTATACAGGAACAACCTGATGTCAGCCAAGTCATTACAAATAAACCTAGGTTGCATACACATTTACTACTACTTCTATCATTTACCAAAATTATTTGCTACAATGGAAACAACATCAAAAAAAGTTAAGTTTGGCAATTTCACCTTAAAGGTGCATTTGTGCACCTGTAACATTTCACAACTACATCAATGACACACAAAGTCATTAAAAGCATATCAAAAGTAACAGTGAGAGCACATGTCCCCAAAGTGTATTTGCCAGTCTACAGAAATGGATCTTTGGCCTTCAATGCCATATTTACTAAGAGGCCTGCTTTTCAGATTCAGGTGCATAATATTTTCCAAGATTAATATTTTGTGGCCTAACACACTTGTTAATTTTTATCTTATCATTGAATGCTGACATTATGCAGCTAAAGAGCAATACATATAGCCTAATCAATAGCCTTGCAGCTTCCAAAGAAATTACTAACTGCTGCTCATCTTCATAAAATATTTTTTTTTTTTTACTAAAGCTTTAACCTGCCCAGAAAGTGTTTATCAACACTGGCTCAAAATGAAACTCATGATTTTCAATATAAGCTCATTAAATTCAGAGCATACACAGGACAACCTTTTACCTTAATAATGTTCTGAAGAACTTTCTCTGTTACCACAGCTTTATGGCAAGCTGTCTTTTGGTATAAGTCCACAACAACTTCCAATGATCTCTCGGCAAACGGTACATAATTCAATGCTACCCATTCCGCCTAGGAAAAGAAATTAGTGAATTACTGAGTGAAAACACATCACTTAAGGAACAGAAAATGTATGTTTTGCATTGAACTCTCAGTTTAATACATGCAAGGTTTGCTAAGAATATGGTCCAAGCAACAATACTGCAAATACAACGTAGTCTGGCTATCAAAATGTACTCTACATTGAAGTAAAGTACATTTAATAGGAGAAATGTTGCAGTCTAGGCAAGACAACTACATTAGGACAATCTTTAAGGAAATTTAACTCACCGGTGCAAACAGTTGTATCTAGTGTGATTCCATTGTGTTCCAGGACAAACAGAATAAGAAAAATTAATACATACATCATAGTTACCTCTTTGATTACAGTGAATCAGATGCTCATGCTCAGTGAACAGCAGAGTACAGAGATAAGAAGAATTACTGAATATGTCCCGTTTCTTTACAGCATGTGCAATTCAAAAATTTGCAGCTTAAGGGGATTTTCTCCATTCAAAATTATTGTGTTTTTCTGTTAAATATGGTACCACATGTAGGACGAGTTATTTTAGATTAAGTCACTGGACAAATTCAGACACATTCACTATGCCTGGTGTCCAGGCAAGGTCTTTCCTACACAGAGGAATACAAAGTATAAAAGTAAAGCAAAATTCCAAGGGAGCAAATGAAGATAACAAAAGCACGTAAAAAAAATAGTAATACATTAACTTATTACTTAACATGCACAGCGAGGTCTTTACAGATGGAATAAATGAATCTTGCTAATCAACCTAAATCTGAAGCTGAATTGGGTTCACCAGCCAAGTGAAACAAGCAAGATTTCTAATTAATTACCTGATTATACTTTGCATTTGCAATGTGCTTTGTTTCCAGCTGTCCATACTGTGGAGGCTTGCAAGAAAATTCTACAAAGGCCAACAGCTGGTCAAAGATTGCAGGATACATTATCTGCATACTTTCTGAGCCCACGCATATAGCCTATACCAAAAGAAAATATAAAAACTTAATATATATCCTGAGCTTCCACATTCAAAAACCTGCATCAGCATAAGTAGCTCCTGAAGAAAAATCCCCATACAAGACAATGCAAGACTCATGCTCTGTAAAAGACAGTGTATAGTTCTAACAGTTTAAGGAAAACAAGTTTTGTTATTTTATTAAAGTAAATTAAGTGGCAAGATACCTTGGCATATACAGTTTAGTAAATACAGCTATCTCATTTTGTCCAATAAAAGATATCTTTTCTTTACAAACTCTGCTTTGACATGACAGCAAAATATAAGTCTTATACAAGTCTGATCTGTTGATCTCAGCCACATCTTCTTTAAGTTCTAATTCAAGGAACACTTAAACCTCAGAAGTAATTCATACAAGGTTTTCATAAGTACTTAAAATTGTGCTTTACAGAAAGCAACATAAATAAAATGACAATGATATGATTTTGGTACAGCTGAAACTCATAATCTTGCTTTAAAATGGAAAACATTTCAGGAAGGGTGTACTTAAAAGATGTCAATGAAATATCATGTTGTCACAGGCTAATGATTTCCTGTTGCAATATAAATCCCAAGGCAGTCTTAGGGCATTTATTTTCAAAGCCAGATACAATGATTCAATGAAGTTACTCCAATTACTTTCTGTCATTTTAAATGTCTTGCTTTTCCTCATAAAGTCTCTCCGCTCAAAGCTTCAAGAAACAGTCTATTTATTGCTCCACAAAAAGACCTTGTGCTTGTACTGTCATTCTTCTCTGGGGAAGAACCAAACCCCCTTTTCATTAACCACAGATCATCCATGACGAGTTGCAGCTGAACTCACTCAAGGTACCAACAGCTCTGAAGCTGTTCCAGTGCAGCCTCCATGCTGGGGCTGCGTCATGAGCTGTGGCAGGCAATGGGCTAGCAAATATCCTAAGTCCCCAGCCATGAGAGGGAGCAAGCCACCAGAAGGGCTACAGGCACTGCCATCACTAAATTACCCTAAGACCTAGCTGCACCTTCAGGCCATCTACAACCTCCAGCAGAGAACTCCATCAATCATCAAGGGCCCTTCCCTTTTCCTCAGCTTCCTGCAATTCAAAACATATGTCTAATGCTCAAAAAAGCTTAATCAGCATTACGAATACATTGCAGCACTCCTTCTAAAAAGCCATACTCCTTTTCTGGTGCTCAAGTTCAAGACTGTACTGAACTCTGAAAAAGATGCTTTGATGCCAGATACTCATCTGTGTGGCAGAAGGCTAAAAGGTTCATTGCTGATCTAAAAGTGTTCAACACCCTGTAAAACAATTTCAGCTGATACGCTGCTGCACTAAAGTCACTACACTTCATTTTAACAGGTTAATGCAAGATTGCATACCTGTTAGAAAAGGTATAAAAAATTATTTATGTATGAACACATGAATTAGAAATGGAAAGAGAGCATACACGAACCCCTGGATAACTTTTGTACAGATACAACTTACTTGCATGGAAGCAACTTACTCACAGAAGACTATCTTAACATCTATAATGGCAAAACTTCAAAATGCATTTGCCATTCACTACACATTGTTAGATTTTTATTATTATTCCTTTCAGGACCAGGGGAAAATAATTTCAGACACTACATTTTCTGTACTGGTGAATAAAAGCAATAACTACTTCCTATTTGAAGTCTGTGAATGAGAAGCTTCTTATTCTTCATATTTTATGAAACTCTTGTAAAATTTTTATTTTACAAATAGAAACATTTTCTATCCAGTCTGCTGGGGTACTTTCAATTCTAAAAATTATCGATATAATACTAAAAAAGGCAGGATTAGGTTACTTAGTTTTGAAAATTAATCTAACTAGAATTGCTTTTCAAAGAGGTTTATGCTTCTGACTGACACCAGGTAACTTTTATCTATGTGTATGAAAAAATCAAAAACAGTGTAGCAAAGTGCGTGACAAAGGTTGTTGAAAATATCTTTAAGAGCTGCTTATAAAACAGAGTAGTATTTACTGCATTAAGTGCACTTATTTACATACTTAAAAGACACGTATAAATCACAAAGTAATGGTCAGGCAACAACAAAACACAAACCCTAAAATAAAATACTCTGCAGATCATTGTTTGTTGTAAATATTGACACAGTACTTTAGTTCCTGAAATTTATGCTTTAAAGCATTCTGCTACTAACTTTCACATTTTTTAATATTTAATAGTTCAGATCTACCTAACAACTCCCAGTGCAACTACTGTCATGGACTACTGGGTTTTTTACAGCTCTCTGTAGCTACGTCTCTACCATCTCTGCCAGTATATGTAAATACAGCCTTGAGTTCACCACACTCATAGCTCGAGGTTTGCATCCATACTGCCTGCAGAGACAGAATTTAAATTCTGATCCACATGTATCTGTGTTCCTCTGTCTGATGAGCCAGCTGTCTCAAAGTAGGGAGGCATTAATCAGAGAATTTGTGCTTGAGTACAAACTTCAGCTGAGCTACAGTGATGAAGCAGGCACTTCTACTACAGCAGTTAAAGACTACAAAACAAGTTCTCATGAGGAATAAAAACAAGAACAAAACAAAGGTGTAAAACGGGCTCAACACATGGAAGTCTGTAAGGAGAATCAAGGTTCTCTTCCAGCCTTATGTTCTTGAGTTGCAATGTCCCTTGCTAGTGCAATCACATAATAAAATCTCTTTATTAAACTAGTCAGGGGCTCAGTCTTAAAAATGTCAGGGTTTTTTCATGCTATTCCAATTACGAGGTTGTCCGGAACTTCTTAGAAAAGCAGAACTGACACAAATCTTCCTGTATCAGCAAAGAACTAAACTTAATCTGATCCCGCAATGCAAACATGTAAGAAACATTTTGTTTAAAAGAAGGTGGTGAGTATTTACATACTATTCTTTAACTCTTCCACTAGCTTCTGTATGTACTTCTGAGAGTATTAATTCATTTCAACAGAAGAATAAGATACCATGGCCTCCAGCAAAACCATCTGACGGATGGCCTTTGCTCCATATCAGCACTGGCTGGCTGCCTTATGTGAACTGTACTGTGTTATATAGCCAAGAGGAGCGATCATGCAACTTCACAGAACTTACTATGTCTAAATATATTTTAACTTATTTTTTTAGCAACTTCAGTGCTGTTCTCTTAGTAACAGAACTATAGATGAGGTAGGAGGTACTGTATAAACGCAGGTCCATAAGACTTCCTATGTAAGCCTGTATTTGCAAAGGCTTGTAACTGCCACACTAACCATTTTGATTGGCAGAGGGAAGGAGGAATGTCTCTGTTTCTCATGGGGAGTTATTGCTTGTGTTATTGTTTAAAAAAACTTGAGCTAAAACAGTTTATCATCTTGACAAGAACAAAAGGAAAAACTGCACATTTTTTATACTCATGTTAAAAACTCTGGTAACCCCTTCTTTGAAAAACGCTAATGCCTACAGCCCCTGGGAGCTAAGAACATCTGGATAAGGAGACTGGCAAAGAAACAGAAAAGCTGAGAGATTAATATACGGAGTGATTAAGTGGGGAAAACAGGACTTGGACAGGGCTGAGCTGCTGGAAAAGGAAGGGTATAAAAGGGTCAAGCCTACTGGAAAAGGATGAAAATGTAGTGGATATGATTGGTGTTAAAACTTCATGTTACTTATATCCCCACATCCAAAACTGAGATTTAATACCAGCTTCCAATCTTACACCTCTGTTCTCAAAATACATTAATGAATATTTGTTAAACTAAAAGAATGACTGCAAGATAATGATTCTGCCTTGCTTGTGGGGCTTAAATAAGTATGAGATTAGTCAGCCCACTCTAAGCAAAAAGAAAACAAGATACTGAATTGCTGCTCATTAAGTAGGTACCATGTGTTCTATAAGCTAAATGAGGCAAGATCCTGTCTGAGAGGAGAAAGAGGAATAAAAAAAGGTACGGCCACATAGTTAAGCAAAGGAGTCATAACATGAAAGCCCAAAGGGACTGAAGTCAGGTCAGATGGATTGTTTTAATTCTGGTATTTCCCAAGTAGGTTTTTTGGGGGGGGTGGTGTTTTTTTTTTTTTTTTTTTTTTTTTTTTTTTTAAAACAGTGCTTAATATAAATGCATGATCTCATTCATTATCAACTTTGCTTATTTTGAATAAATGAATTTTTGGAACAAACAATGTATTTTGCAAGGAGATGTTTCACAACTCCAAAAAGAAAGAAGCAATATCTTTTTTCTTTTCTTTTTTTAACTATCCAGAAAAAAGACACTCTAATTTGTTGTTTACAGATTCACTTGTGTGAAGGGTGCTCATTGAGGATGAGTTCTACACTGAGAATTTCTTAAGGAGAGATGCAGCATTTTCGTTAAACAACTGATTAAAAAGAGACAAGAAGGCAGATGGTCTGCCAGAGACCTTTTTATACTGGATTTTTTGCATGAACTCAAAGTTCTCACAATCACTATTCTTCTAGACTTTGTTTATGGCAGTACCTGGGCAACATAAGGAATACTGTTTGGGGGCTATTCCCCCAACTCTGTGTACAGACCCTCGTAACAGTACAGTACTGTAATATTAGACAGACAAGTAAACGGCTACAAACACAGCACCACATTTAAGGTATTTCTGCAATCAAGCAAAAGTGCATTTCATAAAGATTACACCATTCCTTTAAATGCAGATCACCTGGGTTGCACTAGGAATGGAGATACGATTGTTCTAATACAGTACACTGTGCAATTATGTATAATTTTAAAAATTCATGTTTAAGTCACCACACTATAGTTCTGAGAAGAAGAATTGAGACACAGTGTAGTTTACCTTTCAACACACAACTGAAGTCACATTATTACCTTTTGTAAAACATCTAAAGCTGTTAGCACCGCTTCCTGTAAACTTGTCAAAACTGCTTCAGTGTAAGATGGAAGGATGAAAGGGGAAGCATCAGAACTGATTGGAACTGAAACAGCACTGTGCAAAATGACACCCAGCTTTTGGAGATCATCCATGCTGAAACCAGTTTTGATGTGTTGGTAAAGAGCTGGGAATATTTGAATTAAAGCTGTAAGAAAAGGCTGGCTGGGAATGAAAGTCAATTTATCACAAGTAATTGGAGGCCTTGTACTTTCTGAACCAATCCTATACCAGCTGTTCCAGGCTGCCCACCACAGATTCAAATCTTCAATCTCATCTGTTACTACAGGTGGTTCAGATCCATTGTATCTTCCTATTCTTTCTCCTATGGAGTCAGTTCTCATGAATGATCTGCCAAGACTAGTGGCAGTCGTTGTCCCTACCACCACAGGTACAGAAACATTGATAGCTGGAGGCGTGTCAGGCTTCTCTGAGTCTCGGACAGGAGAAACAATTTGTAAGATCTCCTGGAAGCTTTTCAGAGCAGCCAAGGAAACTTCATTATTTTTGCTGAGTGCTGCTGATTGGATGTGATCAAGAAGAACATCCCAGGCTTGGGAAAAGTCTCCTGTTTAAAAAAAAAGAGAGAGAAAAAAAATAAATCAACTTGGACCTGGCTTCCCATTCCCCTTCCTTCTAAAAGGCTGTTCATGTACTTGTTACTCTAATATAGAGAAATTTCATGAGGTTAGGTGATGGCTTAAATGACTTTCAGAATATTTCAGTTCAACTGTAACCAGAAAAAATGAATGGAACAGAGAAACACACAAATATGATGAAACAATATAGCAATGTTTATGTTCAATTTGCTAGCAAAAAAAAAAAAAAAAAAAAAAAAAAATCACAGTCCACATCCCATACCAGAAAAACATGTTTTCTTTATTTGGGAGAGTGAAACAGGTTTGTTCTTATACATACTAGATGCCTGTTGATTTCAAAAAGCATTAAGCACACACAAGGAATTAAGGGTGAATTCTATAGTCATGCAATGCATTTATAAAGAATTGATTTTAAAATGCTTTGATAATTGTACTGCAGAGAATTATTTTTGGAGTTCAGTTTTTCATTAAATTTAGCCTTAACCTTCAGTTTTCTATGTTACTAATTACTGGGTTTGAATAATTAAAGTAGCCCTGTAAAGTTTTATTTTTTTTATTCAGTTTTAACTCCAGTTTAATATAGTTTAAAATTTACTACATTTCTGCAAGTGAACAATACTCTTGATAGCTATTAATATGTTGATAATTGTATCACAAATAACCAAAATGAAATAAACCAAAACTTATTTCTAGTTATATATAATAATTGTGTAATATGGGATGGTGAAGGTATGTTAATGTAATGGGGAATTTTCTTTGCAAGCTATACATTCTTTATATCACATTTTTATTTCTGAAAGTAATGTATTTAAGGAACTCTAGTTAGCCAAACTAGAAATGAAGGCTGTTTGGAAATTATATCAGAATATCTCTGTTTAGAAGCCTAAACTGAAACAAGACATTTTTTCTGTATGAAACAGGCATGAATGCTGAATTATATTATCTAGTTCAATACATTTACATTGTTCAACTGTATGCAGTAATATTTTATATTTTACAATACCTTGATAAATAACTTAATATTTAATTTCTATAAGGAAAAAACAAAAAATAGTGAAAAATCAGAGCCTGAGAAAAAGGAAGAGAAAGAAATAAAGGCACCAAGGAGTTATAAAAGAAAAATAAAAATCTTCAAAATGGGAAAGGTAAGATTTTAAGCAAGAAGAAGAAAAGGGGAGCTCACTTCAATTAGCTGCATTAAAGGAAAATAGTAAAGTAACTCAAACTGACATCTCTGTACAAGACACACAGTGGAGGAGTATCATGAGGGGAGAAAAAGAACCACTTGAAATAGTGGGCAATCTCAACATCTTTCACGTATGTGCAATCTATTAATTTAAAAATTCCCTTTCTTTTACGCTATATACCTCACTGACTTTACAAGTGAGTTCTCTTTACAATGTAAGAGCACTGTTAAACATGACACCCTGATGCCACAAAAGAGTTCTAGGCAAGCATTCTATAACCCTAGAAAGAAGAGGAAAAATATGTTCTGACAACCAAAAGAACAGAAAAACTGTTATCGTTATCAAGCTACTACATATTAAAGCTATTTGGCACCCAGAATTGTGATTAGTGAGATTTAATCTCAAGTACTGTGATATGGAAGATAAAGTGGTACTTACAGTTTTTGCTCGAAAGAGCATGAATTAAAAACTCCAGAAGTTTCACCACATTTGAGGTGAGACACAACAGAACACACTTTTAAGCTAAGATTAAGATTCTTGCCCAGTACTTTAACTGAAAAAATACACAAAAGCAGAAAGTTTATTACCGTATCTCTCAAGAACTTTCAACTATAAATTTTACCTAAAGGCTGCAGTAAGTATCTCCTGGTGTTAAATATTCTTGCAACTCCAGCCAGTGTTAATACCCATGTCTCAGCCCACTGTTTCTCAGCTGTATCCCTTGAATGATGGATGAGAATGTTGCCTCCTCCTGACTCAATCTTCTCTTTGTCAGCTGTGGTAGAAGATTCTCGAACCCTATCCAACAGCTGAAATAAAACCTGTAACAGTCAGAAAGAGGAAAAAAGCAATTTTTCAAATAACATAGTTGTATTCATGGTAAAACACCACAAAATCGTAATTTTTCCATTAACCTTTCTGTCACTGTGTCACCTTGAGAATTTCCTTATTCTAAACAGTCTCTGCAACAGCTAAAAGTAAGAATCAGCCAACTGATGTTCACTTGAGAAAGGTTAGAAACAGCATGATCAAAACCACTGAGAACAGCACCAGCACTAACGGAAGGCTAAAACCAACGGATCTCAGATACCTCACAGGTACAACAGGGAACAGACTCAACAACAGCTTGACTTTTTCCATAAGGCATAACCAACAGGACTGTGATTTAGAACAGGGCATTTGATGGATCCTCTCAAAACACCAAAACAGAGTGCAAAGTAAAGTTCGATCTAATATCTGATCAATCCAATCACATGACCCTCAAACATAACCAGATTTTCACACAAAGAAAGGAGTCATTCATCTTCATAGGAAGGGAACAGCTTTTTTACACAACTTCTGAGTAAGAAAGAAATGGCCAAGATACAAAAATTACATCTCATGAGAAGCTTTAAGGGCCAGAGAAAAGAAAGCAGGGAAAAAAAAACCAGAACACTAAAAGGTAATATCAGACTTCTGCCACCACACCTTATCTTTAAAAAGTCTTAATAAATTAGTTAACTAACACTAAAATAGCATGTCGATGGTTATCAAAACGTGAACACAATTTTAAAAAACCTTTAGTGGAAGCTTACACATCATACCTTCCATATTACTGTGTGCCATGTTGAATGTTGCAATAAAGTTCCATGAGCACCAATAGTAGAAAACAAGGTCTGCCCAGCACTCTTTCTGACTGCAGGTCGGGGATCCACACACAGTTCTCCAAGCTTGGCATATAGGCATAACCAAAGACAGTCAAATGGTGGTGCAGGATGAAAAGGTCTATTCAGCATCACCCCCTTTTCTTCTGCCTGTTTCTGCAACACTGCTTCTTCTTTGTTGAGCTCCTTTTCAATTATTTCACCTCTTTGGAAAAAATAGTCTGAAATATTCCACTACAAAATAAAGACATATGCTGTTGTACAATAAAAATATTATAATGCTCTTAATGATCATGAAATAAATTGCTTTGCATTTTCACATTTATTTTGTGA